CTGTGTTCACTCATTCCCAAGGGCGCTTTCATCTTAACTTCCCTTATATCCCATTCATTTAGGGTAAATATCAAATCAAGCATTGCTGGTTCATCTTCTCCTCTCATTCTTGTTGGTTCTTTGGTGTGCTGGCTTAGAAAGTTTCTTGTTGCCACGTCCAGCAGCTTAGCTCTCCATGTTTCTGGTCCTCCATGCGGGTCTCTGTTCTTCCAATCTATCTTCCCATGGTTGAAGTCTCCCATAATTAGTAGTCCAGATCCATTCCTGCTAGCAACAGAAGCTGCTCTTTCTATTATGTTAATGGTGGCCATGTTGTTTCTATCATATTCCTGTCTAGGTCTTCTGTCATTTGGTGGTGGATTATATATGACTGCGACTATAATTTTTTTCCCTCCATTTGTTACAGTACCTGCTATGTAGTCACTGAAACCTTCACAGCCCTGAATATCCATCTCCTCAAAATCCCAGCCTTGTCTTACCAGCAGAGCTACACCACCCCCACCTCTTCCTTCCCTCTCTTTCCTCATAACATAATAGTCCTGTGGGAACACTGCATTTGTTATCGTTTTCGTGATCTTTGTTTCTGTGAGGGCTATTATGTCTGGGTTTTCCTCTAGTACCAGTTCTCCAAGCTCATTTGCTTTATTTGTAATTCCATCTATGTTAGTGTACATCGCTTTGAGGCTCACTTTCTTCTGTCCCTTCTCAAATCGCTTCCTTGGTGAGTGTTCTGCTGGTGGGGGAGGCTGTTCCATGGGTGTGAGGACCTGTGAGGTGGATAACAGGGTCTCAGAGGATACTGGGATGAGGTGCAGGGAATCCAGTGAAGGGGGAGGGTATGGGGTGAAAGGGGAGGGAGGACGGGAAGGAAAGGGGGGGAGGGAGGACTCGGGAGGAGAGGAGGGGTAGAAGGGTGGGGATTGGGTGTGGGGGGAGGGAGATTTTGCTGAACATTTGAGTGGGGGCAGGGAGGGTTTGGGGTAGGGGGGTTTTCTATGCAGAGGAGGGAGGCGGGGTTGTCCTCCCTTCTGGCGTTACTGGGTAGCTGGTTGTGGGTTCCCCCCTCGCCTCGGGGGGTGTTGGGTTGGGAGCTGTGACTTCCTGGTTTTCCCCTCTCGCCCTGCGCCTCTTCCTTGCTTCTGCCGCCACGGCTCTCTCCTCCTTGTCATGTCTCTTTGGAGGAATACATTTTTTAATTTTCCCACGTTTTTCAGGGAGCTCTTCCTTGATAGGATCTTCTCCTTTGTGTTCTCGCTTGCAAACACTATCTTTATCATTCGGTCTCGGTCTTTGTTGTACCGGCCTAGCCTGAAAACCTTCTCAATGCTATGCTCAGCCCCCTTCCATGTCTAGTGCCTTTAGTACTTCATTCACTGCTGCTTTGTCCTTGTCACTCCACTCTGTCCTATTAGATCCTTCCTGCTCCTTAATACCCACAGCAACCACTGATCTGTTCCTTTCCAGCAGTTGGCTAGTGGAGCGTGCCGCCTCCTGCGAGGTGGCTGCTTTCATGGCCACCTCCATCACTGCAGTCATTACTTCAGAGTTATTTTTTTTTAGTATTTCCGCAAATGTTGCTTTTATTGTGGCATTCTCATCCAGAAAACTATTACCACCTTCTCCCTGGGTGGTTTTCTGATTCTCAGCCTCGATACCATTTTCTTTGAGGGCTCTAATCTCCTCCTTTGCTGCTGTCAGCTCTCTTTTCAGGTTGCTTATTTCGTTCTTCATTTCCTGCATCATTTCTTGCATCTCACTCTTGATGTCCTCCAGAAAACTGGGCGAACATTTCCTTCATCTCGTCACCTTGGCTCTTTCCTGTTCCCCTGGGACCTCTGGCTGCCATGCTTGACCCTGTTGGGATGGGGGAGGGAGAGAGAGAGAGAGAGGAAAGAGAGAGAGAAGAGAGAGAAAGGGAGTGATAAAGGGAGAGATAAATGGGTGGTTGGGGGGGGATCCGACCCTTCCACTGAAGTGAGAAGAAAGTAGAAGGGGAGGGGGGGGAGGAGATGGAGAGAGAGGCGGGAGGGAGAGAGAGGAGAGGGAGAGAGTGGGTGAGGGAGAGAGTGGGTGAGGGAGAGAGCGGGTGAGGGAGAGAGCGAGTGAGGGAGAGAGGGGGGGGAGGGTGTGTGTGTGTGTGTGTGTGTGGGCAGAGAGGGAGGGGGAAGGAAGAGAGGGAGTGGAGAGGGGGAGGGAGGGGGAAGAGAAAGAGAGGGAGGGAGAGGGGGAGGGAGAGGGGGAGGGAGGGAGGGAGAGGGAGAGAGGGAGAGGGAGAGAGAGAGAGAGAGAGAGCAGGAGAGAGAGAGCAGGAGAGAGAGAGCAGGAGAGAGATAGTGGGAGAGGGATATAATAATATAATATATATATATATTAGGCTCTCATAATCTTATGATGTCTAGTTGGAACAGTCTACGAGTCCAGCATCAAAACAATTGATAATTAAGAAGACTTGTAAGTTTCTAAGTGATAGGAGGAATCACTTTTGTCAATCTAGTAATTTGCAGCTGGAAGCCACACTGCGCCCTTAGGCACCATATTAATTATTAAAAACCAATTCATTTTTTTTCAAAACACAGTGCCTAGTTGTTCCCATGCGTATTCTCTTTCCTCTCTCTCTCTCTCTCACGGGAAAAAATATATTGAATGTCTGACTCGACAGTCTAATAAGAGGGGAAGCGCTGAGCTTCTGTTTCAGGCGTAAAACCTATGCTGGAAACACGAGTTGCTTTTTCCTGAACATTGCGATGCAATGACGGTCACACTCACTAATATTGTGGACGATTTAATAGAACAACTTTTATATAACTCATTAAATCACAAAGAGTCTAAAATAGATATTAAAATTTGACTTTCTGTTTATTATGGATACATCTGTCTATAATTAAATAGTATATGACAAGACACTGCTTGTATCTGCAATTCTCTCTCCTGCAAATTAATAGTACCTACCTTACAATTTCATCAAGAGGTATTTCGCTGCAATCATTCAGGGAGGCGCCTCAGGCCTCCAGGCCTCAGACAACATTGTCCGAGGCTATCACCACATTGTCCGAGGTCCTCACAACATTGCCTGAGGCCCTCACAACATTGCCTGAGGTCCTCACAACATTGCCTGAGGCCCTCACAACATTGCCTGAGGCCCTCACAACATTGCCTGAGGTCCTCACAACATCACACATTGTCTGAGGCCCTCACAACATTGTCTGAGGTCCTCACAACATTGTCTGAGGTCCTCACAACATTGTCTGAGGTCCTCACAACATTGTCTGAGGTCCTCACAACATTGTCTGAGGTCCTCACAACATTGTCTGAGGCCCTCACAACATTGTCTGAGGCCCTCACAACATTGTCTGAGGCCCTCACAACATTGTCTGAGGCCCTCACAACATTGTCTGAGGTCCTCACAACAATGTCTGAGGTCCCTCACACCATTGTCTGAGGCCCTCACAACATTGTCTGAGGTCCTCACAACAATCACAACATTGTCTGAGGTCCTCACAACAATGTCTGAGGTCCTCACAACATTGTCTGAGGCCCTCACAACATTGTCTGAGGTCCTCACAACAAGTCTGAGGTCCTCACAACATTGTCTGAGGCCCTCACAACATTGTCGAGGCCCTCACACCATTGTTTGAGGTCCTCACAACATTGTCTGAGGCCCTCACAACATTGTCTGAGGCTCTCACAACATTGTGAGAGCCTCTCCTCTCACTTACCTGAGGTCTTCACAACATTGTCCGAGGCCCTCACAACATGAGGCCCTCACAACACTGAGGCCCTCACAACATTGTCAGGAGTGGTTCAAGCTGAGGTCCTCACAACATGGTGACATAAAGAGATATTGACTCGCAAGTTTATAAAATCATCAAGTTTATTGCGAATTTAGCCCACTTTTACACGCCAGCATCTGGTGAACACTTAAAAGTGAGCCTTAAATAAACTCTCCGCCATTATCATTTGGTCGTCATGGTTGCAACCTTATCAGAGTTGGAAATCTTTAGAGATGAACTGCGGGATCTTAGGAGCTTGCTGGTCCCCCCCCCCCAGAAGTGTGCCTTAAACCAGCGATCACTATATGCACAAATATCGTCTGAGGGGTGACGTAGGACGCAGATTTGATCCTGTTGTCCTGCGCCATACGTTTTCTTGCAGACAGATCACATAGCTGTGATTTAGCTGTGTGCTACGGAAATAGTTTGGTAACATTTGATCCATATCAGCAAAGCCGTCCCGATTGCAGCTATTATCTACCAGGGAACTCTGACACAACTAATGCAAATAGATGTTTTTTTTTTAACTAACTATTTTCATATTTTAGGATTATACAGCATAAAATTCCGAAGGTAAAAATAATTAAAACGTTAAAAGAAATTAAATAATTATATATAATTAAATTAAATAAAATGCGTGGTTATTATATATTCCCGTCGCACAACCAAACTGTGCAATGCCTCCTCGATACTGTACATTTCATTGTGTTTCACTCGACATAATACAAAGTCAGAAGTGTTAGTTAAATGACCAACGACGATTATTGTTGACTAGTAACGTAGACACGTTTCGTCCAGGGATGGTAAATTACTCGGAGTAATCAACCCAGAGTGTGTGAGAAGTAATCACTCACACCTCAGAGTAATCACCCCTGTGGTGTGAGCAGTGACCGGTCTCACAACCCAGCTTGTGTGCACGACAAACTGTGTCAGCCATGTCCTAATAATTTTCCATGTGTCAAATATGAAGACAGTCTTTCTTAACCAGAACCATTTGATTCTAGTCATCTCAACTAACCAATCGAAGCCAATGCCCATTAGTCCCAGAAAGTGTCAATATTTGTGGTTCCTTTCATGTAATAATAATAGGGTCAAAGAGCAAATTACAGAGACTGACTGTGTCAAGCAACGTCTTGATCGGTGCTACAAGGTGCACACACTCCCAGACGAACAGAGCGAGGTAAAAAGGCCCAATAGGCATTTATATCAGTTCGTGATAGTCGAACTCACATGATAGACCAGTCTCACATGATAGACCAGTCTCACATGATAGACCAGTCTCACATGATAGACCAGTCTCACATGATAGACCAGTCTCACATGATAGACCAGTCTCACATGATAGACCAGTCTCACATGATAGACCAGTCTCACATGATAGACCAGTCTCACATGATAGACCAGTCTCACATGATAGACCAGTCTCACATGATAGACCAGTCTCACATGATAGACCAGTCTCACATGATGGACCAGTCTCACATGATGGACCAGTCTCACATGATAGACCAGTCTCACATGATAGACCAGTCTCACATGATAGACCAGTCTCACATGATAGACCAGTCTCACATGATAGACCAGTCTCACATGATAGACCAGTCTCACATGATGGACCAGTCTCACATGATAGACCAGTCTCACATGATAGACCAGTCTCACATGATAGACCAGTCTCACATGATAGACCAGTCTCACATGATAGACCAGTCTCACATGATAGACCAGTCTCACATGATGGACCAGTCTCACATGATAGACCAGTCTCACATGATGGACCAGTCTCACATGATAGACCAGTCTCACATGATAGACCAGTCTCACATGATACAGTGAACAACATCTTCCAAAAAATACTTTCTTATGAATTTTAAAACGAGTTTATTAAGCTAAAATAAAAGTTTCACACTAATTTCAGAATCAACCTATGCGACAAGCGCATTATTTACCCTTGATGAATAAAATGGTCAGGTAAAAATACTTTAAGACATATATAATACCGTGTAACAAAATACCACGATAATTCTGGTCAAGACTCGTCGTTTGCCTCAACAAAACAAAGGCAACGCGGCAAAGAATTGAGTCGTTAGAGTTGGAAGGGTCCATGAGTCACCAGGGAAGGTGTTTGACACATGCAAATAACACCTCATAAATAATGGTAGCTGTTGGACTCCTGCCTGACGAGAATGAGACCCACTGGAGCCCCACACACACTGGAGCCTCACATACACTGGAGCCTCACACACACTGGAGCCTCACACACACTGGAGCCTCACACACACTGGAGCCTCACACACACTGGAGCCTCGCACACACTGGAGCCTCACACACACTGGAGCCTCGCACACAAGATCCTCACACACTGGTACATCACACACACTGGAACATCATACACACGGGAACCTCACACACAGGAGCCTCTCACAATAGAGCCTCACACACCGGATCCTCACACAATGGAGCCTCACACACTGGAGACTCACACACTGAAGTCTCTCACAATGGAGCCTCACACACCAGATCTTCAAACACTGGAGCCTCACACAGTGGAGCCTCACACACTGGAGCCTCACACACGGGAACCTCACACACTGGAGCCTCACACACTGGAGCCTCACTCACGGAAACCTCACACACTGGAGCCTCACACACTGGAACCGCACACACCGGAGCCTCACACACTGGAGCCTCACTCACTGGAGGCTCACACACTGGAGCCTCCCACACTGGAGCCTCTCACAGTGGAGCCTCACACACCTGGAGCCTCACACACACTGGAACCTTACACACACTGAAACCGCACACACCGGAGCCTCACACACTGGAGACTCACACACTGGAGCCTCACATACTGGAACCTCACACACACTGGAGCCTCACACACACTGGAACCCTCACACACTGGAGACTCACACACTTGAGCCTCACTCACTGGAGACTCACACACTGGAGCCTCCCACACACTGGAGCCTCATACACTAGAGCCTCACACACACTGGAACCTCACATACAGGAGCTTCACACACTGGAGCCTCTCACACTGGAGCCTCACACACACTGGAGCCTCAGCCTCACACACTGGAGCCTCACACACTGGAGCCTCACATACTGGAGCCTCACACACACTGGAGCTCACACACACTGGAACCTCACACACTGGAGACTCACACACTTGAGCTCACTCACTGGAGACTCACACACTGGAGCCTCCCACACACTGGAGCCTCATACACTAGAGCCTCACACACACTGGAAACCTCACATACGGAGCTTCACACACTGGAGCCTCTCACACTGGAGCCTCACACACACTGGAGCCTCACACACTGGAGCCTCACACACTGGAGCCTCACACACACTGGACCCTCACACACACTGGAGCCTCACACACTGGAGCCTCACACACACTGGAGCCTCACACACTGGAGACACACACTGGAGCCTCACACAACTGGAGCCTCACACACTGGAGCCTCACACACTGGAGCCACACACACTGGAGACTCACACACACTGGAGACTCACACACTGGAGCCTCACACACTGGAGCCTCACACACTGGAGCCTCACACACACTGGAGCCTCACACACTGGAGCCTCACACACTGGAGACACACACACTGGAGACACACACTGGAGCCTCACACACTGGAGACTCACACACTGGAGCCTCACACACTGGAGCCTCACACACTGGAGCCTCACACACTGGAGCCTCACACACTGGAGACCACACACACTGGAGACACACACTGGAGCCTCACACACTGGAGCCTCACACACTGGAGCCTCACACACTGGAGCCTCACACACTGGAGCCTCACACACACTGGAGCCTCACACACTGGAGCTCACACACTGGAGCCTCACACACTGGAGACACACACTGGAGCCTCACACACATGGAGCCTCACACACTGGAGACACACACTGGAGCCTCACACACAGACACACACTGGAGCCTCACACACACTGGAGCTTCACACACACTGGAGCCTCACACACACTGGAGCCTCACACACACTGGAGCCTCACACACACTGGAGACTCACAAGGTGTCCACATATATATAGCTTCAGTATTTAGGTGCTCTCCATACACCTTTGTGTGTATTTATATACACACATATAAATATGTGTCCTGTCTATGTGATTAAGTACTAACTTACTAATTTAATATCACGTGACTAAGTAGTAGATTACACACACACACAAATATGTGTGTGTGTGTGATCTCCCCTATATGCTCACCTATTTGTGCTTGCTGGGGCTGAGCTTTGGCTCTTTGGTCCCGCCTCTCAACTGTCAATCAACTGGTGTACAGATTCCTGAGCCTACTGGGCTCTATCATATCTACATTTAAAACTGTGTATGGAGTCAGCCTCCACCACATCACTGCCTAATGCATTCCATCCGTTAACTACTCTGACACTGAAAAAGTTCCTTCTAACGTCTCTGTGGCTCATGTGGGTACTCAGTTTCCACCTGTGTCCCCTTGTTCGCGTCCCACCAGTGATGAATAGTTTATCCTTGTTTACCCGGTCGATTCTTCTGAGGATTTTGTAGGTTGTGATCATGTCTCCCCTTACTCTTCTGTCTTCCAGTGTCGTAAGGTGCATTTCCCGCAGCCTTTCCTCGTAACTCATGCCTCTTAGTTCTCGGACTAGTCTAGTGGCATACCTTTGGACTTTTTCCAGCTTTGTCTTGTGCTTGACAAGGTACGGGCTCCATGCTGGGGCCGCGTACTCCAGGATTGGTCTTACATATGTGGTGTACAAGATTCTGAATGATTCCTTACACAGGTTCCTGAACGCTGTTCTGATGTTAGCCAGCCTCGCATATGCCGCAGACGTTATTCTTTTTATGTGGGCTTTAGGAGACAGGTTTGGTGTGATATCAACTCCTAGATCTTTCTCTCTGTTCGTTTCATTAAGTACTTCATCTCCTATTCTGTGTGTGTGTGTGTGTGTGTGTGTGTGTGTGTGTGTGTGTGTTGTGTGTGTACTCACCTAGTTGTACTCACCTAGTTGTGTTTGCGGGGGTTGAGCTCTGGCTCTTTGGTCCCGCCTCTCAACCGTCAATCAACAGGTGTACAGATTCCTGAGCCTATCGGGCTCTGTCATATCTACACTTGAAACTGTGTATGGAGTCAGCCTCCACCACATCACTTCCTAATGCATTCCATTTGTCAACCACTCTGACACTAAAAAAGTTCTTTCTAATATCTCTGTGGCTCATTTGGGCACTCAGTTTCCACCTGTGTCCCCTTGTGCGTGTTCCCCTTGTGTTAAATAGACTGTCTTTATCTACCCTATCAATCCCCTTCAGAATCTTGAATGTGGTGATCATGTCCCCCCTAACTCTTCTGTCTTCCAGCGAAGTGAGGTTTAATTCCCGTAGTCTCTCCTCGTAGCTCATACCTCTCAGCTCGGGTACTAGTCTGGTGGCAAACCTTTGAACCTTTTCCAGTTTAGTCTTATCCTTGACTAGATATGGACTCCATGCTGGGGCTGCATACTCCAGGATTGGCCTGACATATGTGGTATACAAAGTTCTGAATGATTCTTTACACAAGTTTCTGAATGCCGTTCGTATGTTGGCCAGCCTGGCATATGCCGCTGATGTTATCCGCTTGATATGTGCTGCAGGAGACAGGTCTGGCGTGATATCAACCCCCAAGTCTTTTTCCTTCTCTGACTCCTGAAGAATTTCCTCTCCCAGATGATACCTTGTATCTGGCCTCCTGCTCCCTACACCTATCTTCATTACATTACATTTGGTTGGGTTAAACTCTAACAACCATTTGTTCGACCATTCCTTCAGCTTGTCTAGGTCTTCTTGAAGCCTCAAACAGTCCTCTTCTGTTTTAATCCTTCTCATAATTTTAGCATCGTCCGCAAACATTGAGAGAAATGAATCGATACCCTCCGGGAGATCATTTACATATATCAGAAACAAGATAGGACCGAGTACAGAGCCCTGTGGGACTCCACTGGTGACTTCACGCCAATCGGAGGTCTCACCCCTCACCGTAACTCTCTGCTTCCTATTGCTTAGATACTCCCTTATCCACTGGAGCACCTTACCAGCTACACCTGCCTGTCTCTCCAGCTTATGTACCAGCCTCTTATGCGGTACTGTGTCAAAGGCTTTCCGACAATCCAAGAAAATGCAGTCCGCCCAGCCCTCTCTTTCTTGCTTAATCTGTGTCACCTGATCGTAGAATTCTATCAAGCCTGTAAGGCAAGATTTACCCTCCCTGAATCCATGTTGGCGATTTGTCACGAAGTCCCTTCTCTCCAGATGTGTTACCAGGTTTTTTCTCACGATCTTCTCCATCACCTTGCATGGTATACAAGTCAAGGACACTGGCCTGTAGTTCAGTGCCTCTTGTCTGTCGCCCTTTTTGTATATTGGGACCACATTCGCCGTCTTCCATATTTCTGGTAGGTCTCCCGTCTCTAGTGACTTACTATACACTATGGAGAGTGGCAAGCAAAGTGCCTCTGCACACTCTTTCAGTACCCATGGTGAGATCCCATCTGGACCAACAGCCTTTCTAACATCCAGATCCAGCAGGTGTCTCTTGACCTCCTCTCTCGTAATTTCGAACTCCTCCAAGGCCGCCTGGTTTACCTCCCTTTCTCCTAGCACAGTGACCTCACCCTGTTCTATTGTGAAGACCTCCTGGAACCTCTTGTTGAGTTCCTCACACACCTCTCTGTCATTCTCTGTATACCTGTCCTCGCCTGTTCTAAGTTTCAATACCTGTTCTTTCACTGTTGTTTTCCTTCTGATGTGACTGTGGAGTAGCTTTGGTTCGGTCTTGGCTT